AAGATATAGCCATAACTGTGGGCCCTATAGGGGGAAACCTCATTTTCAGGGAACCCATCACGAAAAATGGACGAAAAATCTAAAAAATATTTTGTCTCAGGATTTTGATGCAGAATGGTGGAGAATCGATCCAGAAAACGTTTAAGGTACTCCGCTTGAGAATCGGATGAGAATTGCAGAAGATATAGCCATCACTGTGGGCCCTATAGGGGGAAACCTTATTTTCAAGGGATCCTATCACAAAAAATGGACAAAAAATCTAAAAAAAAAATATTTTGTCTCAGGATTTTGATGCAGAATGGTGGAGAATCGGCATAGAAATCGATTAAGGTACTCCGCTTGAGAATCGGATGAGAATTGCGGAAGATATAGCCATCACTGTGGGCTGTAAAAGGGACTATACCCCATAGATGCCATATAAATTAACTATCGGGAGTGACGCTACTTTTGTGTTTTTGAAGATAGAAACTTGGGACTTTTTTTTTAAGTTTTGTATTCTAACAAATTGGTTTTATGATAAAATTATAATAAGAATCGGCCAACTATATCCGATGTTTGCGATATTATCTGGTTTTAACTGCAAGGGTTTATCAACTTTAGGGAGGGAAGTTAGCTTTCCTTGTTTTGTTCTTCGTTTGTACTACAGTAAATAAATAATCACCAATAATATAGAATATACTAGTAGTAAATGAATATATATTTGAGTATATATTAATATATGTATATTCTGAACTCCGAACTTAGATTAAATATTCTTAAAATCCGACAACAATCTACCGGATGTGACTTTTAATGCGACAGACCTCAGTGATACCCTTGCGAATGGCCGATCCGGTTCTTATCATAAAAGCTTGGGTGGAGAGACTTTTCGTTGTTAGACAAGCGCGGCTTATTTTTCATTCAAACGTTATCCGGAGACCTGGAAGCACGCAATGGATCCGCGAAATTTAGTAGTGATACTATCCGTTTTAGTCCTGAGTGACTTAATTGTTGGCGATAAAGAGTGTACTGAAAATAGTCTACCAACCAATGTTGTTGAGGTGGTGGAGTGCAGTGGGACTTGTTTTGAAGTAGTGAAGCCTATTCTAAGTTACTTTCGAGAAATAAAAATGGCTGCCGATAAAAGCCATGAATATAAAAACCAGATTATAGAATTGCTAAAAAATGTTGAAATAAAAGATCAGCTAATAAACACATTAAACGAGACGATTAAAATTAAAGATGAACAAATACAAACATTGAACGCTTTAATCAAAAGCAAAGATGATCAAAAAGGAACATTAAACGCTCTTATCAGAAGCAATGAAGCTCTAATCAGAAGCAACGAAGCCCTTACAAAAGCAAAAAGTGAAAGTGAAGAGCTGATAAGCTTCAAAAATAATGTAATAAGCGAAAGAAATAGTGAAATTAATATTAAAGACAACCTTATGATTTCATTAAAAAAACAAATAGAGGAAAAACATGAAGAACTAAAAAAACATCGTGAAGACAAAGCCGAAGATAATAAAAAATTACAAAGTTGTTTGGAAAATGTTATTAAAAACAATCATACTTTGAATGAAAAAGAAAACGAAATCCAGCAAAACAAAGAAGAGATTCAACGAAAGGACGAACTACTTAGAAAAAAAGATCAAGAAATCCAGGAGAAGACTGATCAGGCAATCAGCAAGGACGCCCAAAATAGGAACCTTACTCGTGAAATAAATGTTATATCCCAAAACTTAACTGAAACTAATGAAAAGCTATGCAAATGTGTTGAAATAAACTCCTGTACCACCGCCGTCAAAGGTATATACCATATTAAGCTTCCTGGAATAAGTGCATTTAAGGCTCCTTGTAATGGCTCTGGATGGACGGTGATTCAACGACGAATGGATGGAAGCGTGGATTTTAATCGGAATTGGACTGAATACAGAGATGGATTCGGCAATTTGACTGGAGAATTCTTCATCGGCCTTGAGAAGTTGCACCAAATAACGCAGTCCAGACAGTATGAACTTCTCATCAGTCTAGGAAAAGTCAATGGGTCCAGAGATTTTGTCAAGTATGATAACTTCAAGATTGGCAGTGAGAAGAATTCTTATCCATTGGAATCGGTTGGAAATCACACAGGAAAGGCAGGCGATTCATTCAAAAAGTACCATATGAACATGAAATTCACAACATATGATAGGGATAATGACTTAGGGGGTGGAGATTGCGGTAAAACGCATGGTGGTGGTTGGTGGTTTAATAAATGTGGATATAGGTATACCGTTACAAAAAAACACCTTTTTTTTCCTTTTAAAATATTAAGCTACATTCTTCAATTTACAGCTCCCTAAACGGAAGGTTCTACAAAGATGGAAAAATGAAAGATAATATGTACGGAATATTATGGGGCAGTTGGCAGGGTTACGACTATAACGTTTCACTGACATTTGTCGAAATGATGATAAGACCCAAACCCTTATAAGAAGATGTCGGAATATGGAATTTTGGAGCTCTCGTCGCAATAAAAGGCAAGCCAATTGTAAAAGTCTCTATAACTTTTCTTTAAACAATCTCAAATTTCAGGAATATTTATAGGATCGAAAAGGTCAACTTGTTACCTTGAACTTGCCTTCAAAAAAAGGCTAATTTTCTTTTTAACGTTGTTTTGTCGAAGTTGGCATTTTAATGGCTGCTGATTGTCAATAAACACAATATAAATAAATATATTTTTTTCGCTTTTCAATGCCAAATTACAGAACCTTTCTGCCTATTGTATTCCTATTCCTAAATTATGGTCGCATGATGACATTTTTGGCTTTCCCAATTCGGGGAAGAACTTTTTATGGCTTTTATGGGCCAACAATTTCGTAAATTGTCTTTTGTTTCGACTGCTTTTTTCGGTTCATGTTTTTAAGATGGCCACATTATGTTTTGTCTTTAAAGAATTCTATGAAAAGAAGCCCAAAATTAATATTTAATGGTTTAGGTTTCATACTAATTATTAGCTTAAAATAAAATCAAATTTTGTATTCCTCTAATGTCATTGCGTGCACAATGCGAATGTAAAACTAAAATACAACTTTGTTTAACTTCACGCCCATTTTGTTAATTATAAAACACGATTTAAAGCGCTCTGCTTACTAATGAGAAATGTGAACTGAAACTCGGCCGTGCCATAATCAGGCTGGCTGCCTGGATGGTTCTGGCTCCTCTTATTTTCGCTGCAGCTAAATTAATTGCATACAAATTATTTAACAGTAATAAACATAATAAAGCAGGCGTGGGCGGTGGAGTTGGTTGAGTGGGCGGATTCGGCGCCACTTGTAATGCCAATGGCAACGACCAGGCCAGCAAAAATGCATAATGAGCATTAAAATGCTTCGGGTAAACCCATGAAAGCAAAATGAAACTGCAATGGCACTGCCACGGCTATACTTCCTCTCGAGGTGTGCGTGCGTTTGTTTGCCTGTATCTACGGGTTAGGCATGGCATCCATACTCTATACAAACATATATCCGGAATTATACAAAAAGCCACATACATATATCTTACACTAGCCAAGGTAGGAAAAAAAAAAAAAAAACTCCTTTTGGTCGGGGCAACATTTTTCCCTGCTACTCACGTTCTATTTGCTTAAAATTCTAAACGAATCCTTTTCATTAGCAAAGCAAATGGGGGTAACAGAATCTAATCCCCACGAACTTTAGATGCTCTAATTCGAAATTTTAAATAGAAGGAATTCTTTAGGAATTGCTAGCTTTTATTTAAGGATATTTTAGAGCTTAAAGTTTGTAGGACTAATTGTATAGGCAAGTGGCGCCATGGAAATTCTGGTCTAAAAAATTCTGGTACATAAAAAATGCCCAGGCAAAGGGAGTGAGTATGAAATAAAATGCAATTGCACTTTACACAAAAGTTCAACGCATTCAGTGAGCTATCCACCATTAACCCAATCCTCTGTGGGAGACTCGCCCACTCGCCCAGTCACTTTCCATCCATTTCCCCTCACCCCCGCCTCATCTACTCTTTTTGGCCCTCTGGAATAAGTCTATATGTAGTGTATCTGTATGTAGTATTGCAAATGCAAATGCAAACTCGAAATCAAAGAGCAAACGGCAAACGGGCAGCAAACTCACAACTCAATGACGGAAGTTTGCATTCTCGCAACGAATTCATAATCATACTGAATCCTCCCTGCCCCAGCCCCAGCCCACGACCCACATCCAACCCACCAGACCCACCCAACACATAGCCCACAAACATATCTAAGCCTAGAAAGGGAGGGAGCCCGAGGATTGGATAGCAGCTGTAAGCAGACTTTATCCTTTTTGATTTGCAGCCATGGAAAAATCGGCCATGTTTTTCGTCCATTCCCGGAAAGTAAATATTATTTCGTTTCCAGGATACACAAATATAAAGGCTTAGGTATTCTAATGTTTCTATTTTTTATTCCAAATTATATAGAATTTTCCATAGCCCGCTCCACTTAGTAGATATTATAATCATATTATGTTTACAAAATACTTTATTTATTTCGTTAGATTATTATTTTAATTGAGAAACCCTGAAAGCATGGGAAGTTGCAATTATCCTTTGAGCAAAGGATAACCACACAGGCAACATGAAAGCCATTGGGGAAGGTCACGTAAGATGAGGAGGCGGTTGGCGCAAAGGATCTCCCGACTGCTGCAAACAGGTGCATGTGGGGACAAGAGATTTCTGCATAATTTACAGCACCTGCGCCTGCTAACCATTTTCCATCATTACGTGCCAAATGCAACATTTAATTTTAAATTATAAAGGAAAACATTAAACGCAGTGGGGGGATGGTTGGCTGCTGCTGGCTGGGGGAGTGAAACACAAAAGCGATTATTTATGTGGCCATCCGAGGAGGAGCCGAGTACTTAGCATTCAGCGACCATGGCTAGGTACAAGTCCAAACATTTAGGGGGAAAAAAAGAAAGAATCCAGTCATCCTCGTCCACTGTTGTCCCTGACTCGTGTCTGATAATAAAGGCAAACTTTACCTGGAGCACGGAGACGGAAAGAGACGGGAAAGGACGAGTCCTTTTTATGAAGTATGTATATTTGGGCACTCACCTGTAAAGAGAAGAGACGAAAAATAAACATTACAATATATTTGATTATGGTTTATTATGCCTTTGTCTGGTCTGGGCCAGGAACGGTCGATTTAACGTAAAATAAATTAATAAAATGGCCAAAGCAAGGGCTTTAAACGGTTGGGGATTATCTTAAAGGTAGGTAGGCACTATAATATTGTAATATGACACATCAATATAAGATATTACTTTCTAAATCTCATACATGTGACACTTGTCTCACCTCAAGTGCTAAAATTTCTCACCTCATCGACTTTCTTCCGATTTTACCTTTAATTTCCCACACAGACTGTTCTCAATTTTGCAAAAACACAAAAAAATATCTTTGCAAGTCTGGTAATAGATGCGTGGGGAGGCAAACAACTTACTTGAGCATCTGTGTTTTACATTTTTTAATGGCATTTTATCAAATGCAATTAATCGTAATTGCTCGTTTATCCATACAGCCCACATATGGTATGGCGGAGGCAGTTGGAAATAAAAGAAAAAGAAAGTAAAGTACACACACATCACACGCCCCCTTCAGCGTTTACTTCAAGTGCCCCGGCGGAAGACATATACCCACACACGAGGAGAAGAACAAGGGAGTCAGTCGACTCTCGGCACATTAACATTTTAGAATTTCTTTCTTGGCAACGTGACAAATGTGGACACAAAAAAAAAAAACATAAAACAGAAACATACAAAATTACACTTAAATGGGTGAGGAAAAAAAATAAAATAAAACAGGGGGAAGTGGCAGGCGGTTGAAAGGGGAGACCATGCCTCGAACACATACATCAAATTACACATGAAAAGTAAAAAAAAAAATTGTTGCATCTCCCAGGCACCCATCCAGCCCACCTCTCCACCTTGCCACATCCTCGCCGAGTGTAGTAGAATGCTTTATGAGGTCAATTACCTGTCATTTGCATGACGGGTTGGGTCGGGCCTGGCCGGGTCTGGCCGGAAGGGGAAGATTCCACCGAGAGTGTGGTGGATATGGATATGCAAATGGAAGGTTGGATTTGGGTGTCAGTTTCCACTGGATGGTTTGATGGCTACCCCCCAACCTCTGGCAATTTGCATCTGAACTTTAAGCGAAGGTCATCGGTCTTATGCCTCTTTTGCTCTCGTTTTATTTTACTTTTGATTTCGTTTTTCCTCGTTGTGCACTTTTTTAATTCTCTTTCGACTGCGACTTTTTGCAGGCAATGTTGCCACTGGTACTGGTACTGTTACTGGTCAGGCAATGAACTCGATTAATTAGGGGCATTGACATATAGTATGTTTGCCCTCTGCTCTGTCCACTGCAAACACAGCTCGATCTCGGGTCAAATGTCAAGTTTGCAATTGATGGCAATTCTCAAATTGATTTAAGCGCAAGCTTGAGAGAACGTCATTCCCATTCGCAAGTTGATTATTCTGGGTTCTAAGTTTCTAGTTATATGATGTAATTCTGGGGAAAAAATATGTATTTATCAGTAACCCTTATAAAAATAGCAAGAAACCTAAAAGTCTTTTCTATAGTAAGTGCCAAATAAGGAGTCACTGATAGGAATACACAAGAAGGCAAAGTATTACTCATTTCCTCAAAATGATTAGCCTAGTAAGTAGGGCGTATGGTGGCTTAGGAATGACTTATCATGATGGGATTGGAGTGGGATGGGAGTCCAAGCTCATGAGTAATATTATAATAATTAAATTATTAACCTTTATTAGCTTTGATATGAAACCTTTTTTAATATATTCATTTCAAAAGAAGCTGTTGATAAGAGTCAAGCCATAAACAAATATCTATGTACACATCTCCATAAGACCCTCAAAGTACAACTGTGTGCACTTCAACTGTCCAAAATGACATCACAGATAGGAAACTCAAAATATAATGGACAAAACAGCCAAAACTAATAAAAGTGGAAAACACACACGATCCTAACTGCAGAAAGGATCCAAAACAAAGGACTCTAGCAATAAAATCAAATAAAAATGCTAGGGTAAGGGTAAGGGTCCTACTATACTAGCACCGAGAGCCAAGAATGCGGAATTATCTTTTGAAATGAGGACTCCACAGAGGGACAGCAGCAGCTGGGCAAACGGCCATGGAACTGAAAGCTCAGTTGGAGAATTTTGGGATGCACGTAGCAAAGCCCATCAAGTTAAACCCCAGCCGCTGGACTAACCCCATTCAGGCCCCCCAACCTTTATATCCGAGGGGTTGGTTGCAAGAGGAGCACCAGCTGCAGCAGCATGGGGATTTGGATTTTGGTTCGCCGTTGCATTAACATGTTGAGCAGGTTGCTGTGGCCATAGCGGAAGTCCATATCTGAGTGTGCACGGTGGTTCAAAAGGATATAGATATATTCTATATAAATATATATATTTATTTATAAAAAAAACTTAAAAATTAAATATACTCTTGGGTCTTTTAATTTGCTAAAGTTAAAGATTTAATACATTTGTTGTCTAAAAGTCAAATATTATCTGCTCCACGGTGGACAATGGACGCAGGAATCGGTGGCATGGTTGAAGGGGTGCAAATGACTCCCTGGGATGGACCTGCTCGCTAATGCACACGCACAATGGACGTGCAGCAGAGCACATTGCAGTTGCACATTGGCGTTGCAGTTGCTGCTACGCCAGTTAATGAAATGCGGCATTCAACAGCCGACAAGACGTCGCCATTTTGTGCGTGTGTCCCCCAGTGTGTCCCCCAGCTGCAGGATGGCTGCAGAATTGCATTCGGTTATGGGCACGTGTAGGGACAGCCATCACGCGTATGCCAATCAATGGCAGGACTGACCCATTGGGGGCGGTGGGTGTTGTTGCGGTTCCAGGATATGGGGTACCCAGCGCCAAGGCACCCAGGCACCGTGCCGATGGATGAACAACGGCGTTAACTAGTATACATACGGCATTGGCAAGTCAGTGAAGTCAAACCGTAGTCATCATTGTCAGCAGCAAAGTCATTCCCCCGCATCCAAGCTGCAACTTGCGGGGCTTACCTTTAATTACCAGGTGGATGTAACACTCGGTTTAATGCTCACAGCTGTCCAAGTCACGTAGCCACGGAAACAGGACATTTTGGGGGGTCTAGATGGGGGGCAGGAGACCCTAGCTTACAACCCCTAGCTTAGCTATGTCCTTGATTGAAATATTATTATAAGAACAATATCCCCAGTTGAAAATCTTTCTCTGGCCATAAATAAATGCAACTTTCACTTTCCATTATACTCCTTTTGTTGGTTTTTACAATGGTGACCATTATGCAGGCAGTGGTCTTTTGTGTTTGAACTTTTTTTGTGGCACGTTTAACAAAAAATAATTATAATAATTGCATTTTGCCAGCACATGATGGCCAAATTACTCGTACCACGGCTGCCAAGTGTCGAGGCGTGTGGTGTCGGGATGGAGCACATGTGCTGCTATTTTAAATCCACACAGATGCGTATTTTGGATCCCAAATAGTTGTAGAGCCGGAGGTGTAGAGCGGGAAACGGAAATGAGTTACGCCTCGCGAGCACGTTGAGTTATGAAAATTATAAACAAATTAGCTGCTCTCGGTCTGGATTATGCGGTGTGGCATTGTTGGCCTTGCATAAATTAGTAGCATCAAGTGCGCCAAGTTCGCAACACTTCAAAGTTCTATAGCCACCCAAACTAGCTTACAACCACCCACCATCCCACAACCTAATTTGTAATCTGTGCTAAATCTGCTTGTAATATGTTTAAAATAATTGGAGCGATGGGCATTAACGGTGGCAGCAAAGCGTTATAATAGGGCTTATTAGGGTTAGCGAACAGGGAGCCGAGCTCGACATGACGGCAGATTAGCATAACAAAAGTAAATGACGACTGCCAACAAAATGTGTCAATTGTGCAACACGACAGTGTGGCAGGTTGCCTTTAAATTCCCAAAAGAAAATAATTTCACTCATAAATCAAAATATAATTAATATTTTTTTTATAGAAAACTATAATCTAGATATGTATTGTTTGGCAAATAACATGAATAATCTGACTATATTTCTTCACATCCCACACCAGCCGCAAACCATTTCCGATTCATTAGGCATTCAACAAATGTGCGGCGAGAAAAACACTGTGATATATTTCAACAGCTTAAAGAGAGTGTCGTTCTAGCCCTGGTCCCTCGAATTTATGAATTTCATGCGTGTTTATCAGGAAAACATGCCGCTGGGCTTGGCTCTGAGTCGGCTCCCGATGGGAAAAGGCAGCCGAACAGTAGCCGCAATCCCCCAGAGCTAGCTCAGAAACACAAAAGCTCAATGGACATGTACTAGCGCTGTTGAGATAACACACAGCCATCCAGCCAGGCACTCACATAGATACGAATACAAATGAAATGCGACATGTACATGGAAAACAAATGATATTCTCAAAACAGTAGTTGAAGCTCAACGCAAAAGCGAAACGCAACGAAACTAAACCAAACGAGGCGTGAAAATCGCCAACAAATCATAAAAAAAAGAAAAGCGCAACAAGAAAAGTCTGTGTGCAGAACACACACACACACACTCTGGCATGTATATGCAAATCAAAAAGGTCCTGCAAAAAGGACCCTCGGTGCTTCTCGTGTGAAGACAAGGGCCGGAAGGATGTGAGGCATCAGACGGGAAGCAGAGGTTGCCCCATGTCAGCGAAAGGAGGTGGACCTAGGACGACAGGATGCTAGTGCTTCAGCTGAACCTGAACCACTGCAGGGCGGCTCAAGATGTGCTGTCGCAGACTGCGAGGGAGACGAAGACGGACATAGCGCTCCTAAGCGAGCCCCATAGGACTGGCTCAGACAACCGCTGGGCAGTGGACCTATCGGGGAAGGCTGCCATCTGGAGCTGCGGCGCAACCGGCGCGACAATGCACTCAGTGCACACTGCGGAGGGATTCGTAAGGGCTCGGATAGGTAGGGCATGGCTTTACAGCTGCTACATGGCACCTAGCCTAACCACCAGTGAGTTCGAGCGCATGATGGACTGCCTGGGAAATGATATCAGAGGCCGCTCTGACGTCCTGGTAGCAGGGGAC